ACAACTTGGAAAAAAGGCGTTATACGGTTATACGTTAATTCGTGATTAAGTTTATTTTAAAATTATCTATAAATAATAAATTATACAATATTTAATTTCGTCAATTACGAAGTTTTTTTTTATTACTTTTATTACTATACTGAACGCGGTTGATTTTTTTTTTTTTTTTTTAACTGATAATATAAAGTTATCATAATTTAGTGTTAAATAAATTGTGTACGTATATATATCAATTTGAAAGAATAATATGTAATGATTACTGTTACTGATATGATATTGATCAGAATTGCCTTATTTGCACTCCGAACTGAGGTTGATAATTTTACTATTAATTAAAAATAATTTTATAATGTAAAATCAAAATATAAACATTAAATTAATAATAATAAATGTAAATTTTAAAATAACAATTTTTACAAAATTTTATTACAACCAGTAACTCTATTAGAATGGGTTAATTTTTACAAGGCATGTTCAAATTTTTAGAGGAACAATTTATTATAATAATTTAATTAAGACACATATAAGGGCAATGAATTTAATAAAGACGTTTAATCATCGTATCAAACGGAAAGAGAAGGTCAAATTGAATTTGTTTCATCATGAGGTAATTGTTGTTGAGTTTGTAAAAATTTTAAAAATTGTTGAAATAATAAATGTTGTTGATCTAATTGATGTTGAATATTTGAAAGATTAAGATTATTACTTTGTAGTAAGTTTGTTATTGAATCATTTAATTTTTTTGATTTAATACGTTTTTTATACAGTTGGTGATATAAAAAATAACCGATTCCAATTAAGATTAATACAGATTCAAACACACAGACTACAATTAATATGTCAACGGTATTAGTGTCGGAAATAGAAGTAATCCGAGTTGTATTCCCAGTTCCAGTATCTGAGGACATTAAATTTAAAGGACTGATTTTAAAAATATAAAGTTAATAATAATTTTATAAATATGGGGTGAGTCAATAGAAATCAAGCAAATTGTTTTTATTGAAATTTTTTTAAAACTCTAAACAACAATAACTCAACAAAAGCTTATCAATTTAATAAAAATTTTTTTAAATTATTTTACAATTCGTAATATTTATTTTAAAAATCTTGTTATTAATTTTGATAAAGTTATTGTTGATTAAAGTTTCAAAAAAATTTAATTAGAAAAAATTTTGCTTGATTTCTATTGACTCAACTCCATAAAATGATAAATTAAAACATACGGAAAGTCGGTAAATGGAGTTCCAAATTTAGCACAAGAATTTTTCCATATCCATAACGGTTGAATAATCACTTTATGTTTAGAATTATTCAAACAAGAAGTACATGACCGTAAAGTATCATAGTATAATCTATTGCAATTACAAACGTTACCCTCTCCATTAGCTATGTACAATAACAGAAATAAAGATTTATCAGAGAAAACATGAATAATAATGAATAGTGAAATAAGTATATGATAAGAGGAATGAATCTCTTACATATTTTATACAAAGTAAAATTACTTCTAGGACGAGGCAAGGTTTGATTACATGGAGCCGACAATTCATTTACTTTATTACATGGATCTTTATTAGTTTCACAGTCGTCGTCGGCTTCATGTGCGGATGTTGCTTTTGGTTTTTTAGATGAAATTGTTTTTGAATGATCATGTGAAGTATGATGTTTAGTATGTGAATGATTTTTCGCTAATGAATTTTTTGGAATTAAACCGAATAATAACAGAAAAAAGTTTATAGGTTTTTGTGTATTTATAAAAGATACCATTTTTTTTTTTTTTTTTTTTTTACGGTATTGATAAAGTTTTATTGTTATTTTTTTGTCAGGGAATAAATTATAGATGTTATATTAAGGAAGGTTGATAAATAATCCAAGATGTTTCAAACGAGATTAAGCCTATTTCTACGTATTCGGATTATAATTTTCACTTTAAATGTATGGTACGTAACTCAGATGTACGACTTTTGTTAATTGTGTTTATTATACATATTCATGATATTATGCATGTGAGAAAACCATCAACATTTCCGATTTGTTTATATAAACAAAATATATACGATTTCCGGAGTTACATATTAGTTATCAGTTATTAATCATGTACATCCGTAGCTATAATTAATCTACATTTTATTTGTTTAGGAATAGTAAATTTTTTTATTCTAAACCACATACCGATACGTAAGTATTATGCTGTGTTCCCCAATTTGAAATCTGTTTCTTTTTAGAATAAATTTCGAAAACAAAAATTTGGACATGATCCGAAAAGCTCTCTCTCTCTCTTTTTTTTTTTTTTTTTTTTTTTTTTTTTGGTCAATAAAAATCTAGCTGCAACATGTTTATTCGATAATTAAACAACTTGTTGCTTGCATTATAAGATTTTAGGATTTAATAATATATATGCATCATATTAATTAAAATAATTTTGATCCCGAGCATAATACCTATCTTACCCTACATAGACTCCCACTTTAACCCAATGAAACTCCTTGATCTGACGACATACATGTCAATGGAACTAACTAAATCTTGCAAAATAAATAATTATGTTTGAAAGAATTTCGGAAATATCAAAAATTAAATAATCAATAACATCTTAAGAGAGTTAGAATGTAATTATAATGTATATGAAAAATTATTTATTTATATTATATATATATATATATATCGATATTACTTTCATTTAATTAAGTAAAAGAAAAAAAAATTAATTTTTGTGTAAAGAAAATAGATTTAGATATCAGATATATAGCAAATTGTGAAATTTAATTATTTTATCTGGTGTATTTACGGTGCCGCTCACTTCACCGACAGTCATTTCACCGAAAGTTCATTTAACTGACATCACATGGGTTTAGGGTTAGGGTTTTATTAGCTTCAGGTATATATTTTTAGTAAATTGTCACTTGATGTGATGTCGGCTAAATGAGCTGTCGATGAAATGATTGTCGGTGAAATTGATATACATGAAATTACGTATTCAATTATTCAAATACAGAAATTTGTTTCGGATCTTACCAAATTACTTGATCACCAAATGAAGATTTATACGTATAAAATAAACATGAATATGATATTCATGAATGTCTAATGAAATGATTCGATAAATGTAGAAATTATACCGTTTCATTAAGAACGCATTGCTGGTAATCATCTGCAAAGTTGATGGTGTATCATGTAATCGAAAAGGGAAACAGCCACACGAATCTGCCACAACACCTTGACGAAGCAACCTAACGCAAGATGGCAAAATGGCGTAAAAACCTAGAACTTCTTCTTTAAATATAAAAAAAAAATTTTACTTATAAATCAGTTATTATTATCTTCATATGCGATATGCACGAACGCCGAACAACAAAAAAGAAGTTCATACGTAAGGTATAAATAAAATTCCTAAACGGCATTCGGAAAATGTGTACCAGGTTGGTGCGCCACAGTGGCTAAATCGGTCAATTATTTATCCTGTGGTATCAATCAAGAAAATAATGAGACTAGTTTTTAATGCTTAGAACAAATAAATTATACTGTATTTCTTTTTTTATCTCTATTTAATATTTCTATCTGAGAAGAATTTTAGAGTAGTTTCAAGAACAGTTAATTCAATGATTTTCACATGACACTCGGCCTTAGAGAAATTCACGGCAAATCACGTGTTTGTGAATCTTGATTATCGATGTTAACTTCCCTTCTAAACGTTATATTAATTTTTCTTTAATAAATTTAATAAACAGAGGCAAGTGAATATCGATAATAATGATTAAGAGGATGAAAATTATATATATAACATTTAACCAAAAAACAATTGTAATGAGAATTGTCTTTTAATAGAAACCACAAATACGTATTATACCTAAATATTTCCATAAAAGCATAAAAAAATAAGCAGCAACTCTTTATATTTATAATCCATATACTATTTTCTTAAAATAGGCTAGAGGTCTGCAAATTACCTATTTTTGTGACCTGGCCTAGCCCGTACTTAGTTTTAAAATTTTTTTGTTTGCCTAACCTGGCCTGCACTTGGTTTTAAAATTTTTTTACTAGCTCATATATATATAAATTTTTTTTCAGACTAGCTTAGCCTAATGCATAAAATTTATTATAAATTTTTGAAAATTTTTAAGCTCACATTAACTTGCAGTTGTAAATTTTTGTTTCAGATCTAACTCAGCTCACAAAAATTTGTGGGCTAGGCTAAGTTGAGCTAAGCTAAGAGACACAATATAGGTCTTTAACTCAGATCTTTATATCTAACTTATAGTAAATCCTGTTTGTTTCTGAGAGTTATAATTCTGTAAATTATATTATACTAATATCAATTAGATATTAGAAGTGTAATAAAATATTTGAGAAGCATAACATTATATGAATAAATTTTAATAGGATCTACAGATAGAGAACCTGTATGACAAAATATAGTAACAAGAGACATTACACAAAGTATTTTCTGTTATTAGTCTCTCTAGTTAGTTACTCTTTCTAAAGAAGTAGAAGCAACCTAACAAATTAGTGGTGACTATAAGATACTTTCTCAAACCCTGCAAATATTAAAAAAAAAATCCAAGAACAAGTTTAATTGTAAAAAATATCAGTTGTTACTAAGAAAAGTCTATTAATTTTTATCTGATTGAGCTAAAATTTTGAAAATATACCTAGAGAACAATTCTGCAACTTTTTTACTAAACTTATCTTAGAGCAAAAACCTTTCTAAACCTCTCAAAAAGATCTTTCAGAACTCTCTCTCTAAGGAACAACAGGAAGAATTCTTAAATTAAAAGCCTAGAAGAAGTTTTAATACTCCCAAAATACCAGCAAACATTGTGAAAACAATATTTACAAATAGCCTTATAACTAATACAATAATATATTAGACTCACAATCAATTTTGTAACTTAAAAGTGACAAGATATGAGTTATATCAATATACTTAAAACACACTAAGAAAAGGATACAACATGATGATATTTGATAAAGAATACTATATTGCTCAGATATTCTTGGCATTAAATATTGCTATAATTATGAGTTTAATATTATTTTCAATATTTGAAAAGAAAATAGCTATAAAAAGCAAGAACACTATTAGTATTAGAAATACTAATAAAAATAACTATTAAGACTCTAATACTTTAGTAAATGAATATATTGAAGCTTTAGAACTTACTCTTCAAGAAATACTACAAATTTTGAAATCTACTTCTACAAAAGACAAAAAAATTGCTAGTATTTATCAAAAAACTCTTCTATATCTACAGAAGACCTCTGACAAACTAAAACAAAAGTTTGAAAAAGAAAAAATTGTAGTTAAAGAAGAAATTGAAAAACTACAAATTAAGAACAATGAAAAAGACTTCAAAGAAACAATTATTTAATTTACAAAAAAGAAAAATTGTATTGGCATCACTATTACAACTGAACCAAACCAGAAGATTCACTTTAATATACATTTCTCCTCTGAAGAAAGCTTATGCTATTTAAGATCTAATGAATTTAAAATTAATAAAAACAATAAAATTAGTACAAATTAATCAAGAACACAAGATTTAAAACAAAACTATCTCTATAATAAAGACTCAAATATTCAAGATCTATCTAATGAATCTACTGATGAAAAATCTAAAAGAAGAATACAAAAAGAACAAGATAAGTTAAAAGAAGGAACAAACTCAAAATTCTTACTCAAAATAAACTCAATGAAGAAAAGATTTTTAAAAGTTTTGAATTTCAAAAGAACTTGATCAAAGCTTTGATTCAACTAATTTAGATGAATCTTATGAAGAAAACTCTCTATATTAAATAAACAAAAAAGTCTTAAAATCTAAAAAAGATCTTGAAGTCCAACATCAAAATGTTAAAAAGCCTAAAGTCTTAGACTTTGAAATAACAAAAGAATAGTCTACTATTACAACTAAAAGTGATCTAGAAACAGAGAGAAATGAAAGTGAATTAAGTAATCAAGATGAACTTAGTTTCTCTAAGAAAACTATTTTGAAGAACAACTATTCAAATTATAACCTACCTTAGAAAAAACAAACTCTAATAAAGAATAACTAAAGCAACTAGAAGAAAACCTAGTTTACATTAATTATTTAACATCTGATATGATAGATAATTTTGATGAAAAACAAAAACAATCAACCAAATATGAAATCTCAGCTATAAAATTTTTATTACAACTTGAAGAATTTAAATAAATTTACAAGCTATACAACAGAGGAATAATACTATCAAGAATCAAACATATGCTTAATTCGATGAAGATTATTAAGTCTATTTCTGTTTTAAAGATACTGATCTATTTTAAACAATTAGAAAAAACATTAAACAAATTATATTAATTACTTTTGAAAGGCACTTCTTCAAAAAATTTAGAAATATTACTATCTTAAAATATTGAAAATTGCAAGAATATATAATTTAAAGGAACTATTTCTATTTATTAAAATATAATTAATTAGGTTACATAACTTTTAAGATATTGTATTTTTTTTAAATCTATCATTAAAATCAATTCAGCTTAGGTTGATAGTGTCCTAACAAAAGATATTTACAACTTATCGAATATTATATTGAAGTTACAAATCAATTTAAAATAGTTACAATTTTGAACAAAGAAATTTTATCAAACATTTTATTAAAATAACACTTTTACTACATTGATAACAACTTAAAATTAGAAGTTATAACAATATTGACAACTTTAATTTTTATTAAAAACAGTAAAATAGAAATTTATTTTGATATTAAAATTTATTTGAGAAAAATTTTATTATATATTACTTTCTCCTTCAAAGAAACCAAAACCAACTCTTCTATTACTACTACTACTACTATTGTTATTGTTACTACCTCTTCTTAATTCTTTCTGAACCTCCAAATCTACAACTTAAGCTCTTAACTTATTCCTTTTAACTAACAACCTCTTATACTCTGTGTTCTTCATCTAATTTCTTTGCACCCTTTCTACAATAGTTTCTTGCTGCATCTCTACTCTCTCCTCTAACTGATGAACTTGATAACATAAACTATTTACTTCTCAAATCTGAATAATTTTGAACTAAAGCTTAATATATAATATTATTACTAAAAATAATATATTGAAAATACCTTCTATTTGCTATTTAAATAACTTCAAAGCTTTATAGAGAGAATTAATAGAACTATCTTTTAAATTGTGATAAGCAGAAGACCTTCATTAATTATAGTTAAAGCTTTGAGTCATTGTTATTATTATTATTATTATTGTTATTATTATTTTTATTATTATTATTAAACTTTTAAAATTTTTTAAGTTTAATTTTATCAATCTTATCAAAAACCTTATATATACTCTATCCTTTATTTATTACCTGACAAGATTTAATTATTCTTATTGAACAATTATTAGCAAAGTTCTGATGCTTAAAAAAACTCTGTTAAAAAATTTAGATATTAAGCAGTTGTAGGATAATAGTTTGAATATATGTATCTAGTAGATCCCTAGATCAAGAGTTCAATATTAGCT